TAATGGATTCACCTCCGCAACCTTTGTATGAAGAGCAAGGAAATTTAATGGATTCACCTCCGCAACCTTTGTATGAAGAGCAAGGAAATTTAATGGATTCACCTCCGCAACCTTTGTATGAAAAGCAAGGAAATGTAATGGAACCACCTCCTCAACCTTTGTATGAAGAGCAAGGAAATGTAATGGAGTCGCCAGACTCATCACTTGAAGATTCTCAAGAATTTTCGAATTATAGTTTTGTGTTATACGGTATGTAGAGATCTCTGAATTTTTATTATTATCTGTTATTATTATCATTATTATTTGAATTATACTTACATTTACTGTACGTACGTACGTGCATACTTACATACGGACTTAGACACCAGCTTTGATCCTTATGTGTATCTTGATGGTATTTATTATTTATTTATTAATCATAGATTTTTATTCTCACATGTATATTTATTAATGTCATCATATTCACAATAATTATTTACGATATTGCAGCAATAGAGGAAAGTTATGGAGACTTTATCTTTATGCCTAATCCTGATGTCATGGGTACCGTATTACCGCGAAATAACGCGCAGGGGTGAAATGAATAAATTTCGAAATAACGCATATGGTCGTTATTTTGTAGTTTTACGGCAATCATATTTACTTTTGAAGAATCAAGCATTTACGGTTGGTTGTTAATATATATACAAATATGTGAAATGCTAATTACAATCTTTAACATGTTTACATTGATAACCCACACCTCTGTATATATATATCCTATGGTTCCGATCAATTCACCGACTATCATTTCACCGAACACTCATTTAGCCGACATCACATAGGGTTAGGGTTAATCATTTGATTAGTTGCAGGTATATATTTTTACTAAATTTCATCTGGCGTGATGTCGGCCAAATGAGCTGTCGGTGAAGTGATTGTCGGTGAAATAATACGGACCCCTATATATATATATATGAGTGTCGCTAGAAGAAAACCCGAAAATTAAATGACTTATATTTAAATTTTCGGGTTTTCTTTTAGCGACACTCATATATATATGAGTTAAAAAATTTCCCGGCCACATAAAATTTGATAGTGTTTCATTAATAACGAGAATGTTTTTTTGGGAGAGTTGTAAATTATTAACGAACTAGAACTAGATCAATAATATTGTGTAAACTTGTGTAAAATTAATGTCGGTATTAGCGTTAGTGTATTATTGATTTTATTGTAAAAATATTTTTCTTTTCAAAAAAACAATAAGTGGCAACTCAAAAAAAGTTTAGTACGTAAATGTAAACATTATATTTTATACATAAATATATATTATTTTTGTGTTTATTATTATTCTATGTATATTTTTTTATAAATCTCAGAGCAAAGAAAAGGCAAGAGAAATCTGTTGCTTTATATATTTTTTGGTTCGTTTTAATAGTACGGAAATTCATCTCCGGATTTTCTTGGAAATTCCATACTCCTTTACGTTTTTACTTTGTTTTAAAAAAAAGTGTTAAAATGATTTTATAAATTTGTAAGTACGTATGTAAATTATGACTAGTTATGGATTTAAGGTTACGTGAATTACGTATTTGAAAATTATTGACGTTGACAAATTTGATAATTGATAGACAAATTTCCGAACGCTTTATCAAAATTCTTAAAACATCCCAACT